GGGCCAGTGCGGGACCCAGCTGGACGCCAGGGTTCTGGTTCCGAGCTCCACTCCCTGCAGGCCTCCGGACGCTGCAGGAGAACAGGGAGGCAGCACCTTCTGATCCCGTCCATGCTTCGGGCCCACAAAGAACCCTAGCCGTCCAGAACGCCTTCTCTCACTTTAAGGGAGCCAAAAAACCTATCCTGAAGACTGAGACCTTAAGCATACATGTGCCAGAGCCCCATGCTGTGTGGCTCCCGGGTCCACAGCGCCAGCCCCTCGTCCCCGATGGGCCCTGACGTGTCAGCGGTACCTGCTGTCACCGGGTCACACCCTCTGCTCTCCCGTGCCTCGTTCCCTCGTCTCTTCTTTCTCACTTTCCCTGTGGCATTTTCCCGAGTCCCATGAACCCTGGGCCTCACCACCCACCGGCCCATAGCAGACACCGCACCCTGTGTGCTCATTCAAATCAGGGGGTCCAGTTGGGCAACCTGACTCAGAAAAAGAATGTTTCCCTTGGATTCGGGCCCTTGAAACAAGAATTCATGATAAGTCGGTGACACTGTTTCTTATGCTCTTGGTCAATAAGCTACCCTGGTCTTAGACGAGTCACCACTAAGCCTTGGTCTTCTCAAGCCGAGGTAGGTAATATCAGCGGTTCTTGGAAGGATCAGAGGGATGATGTACATGAAAGGCACTTAACACATACAAACGCATTACAGCGTGTCAATGAGCAAGAACAACAATCACACGCTACCTTTCTTTTTATTTCTGATGGGGGGCGGGGGAGAGGCATAAAAGCTAAAATAGTTGGAGGAGCGAGGAGGCGAGAGGTTCCTGGAACACGATGCTGAGACCAGAGGGGACACTCCAGGGCCACGCAGGCTGCAGCAGGGTTCATCCCGCCGGGTCAGAGTGCTCGCTTTGCACTACCCGCCCCAGCCTGACCACACGCCGCCGTTCCGTGTGGACCCCGTCCTGTCCACGGAGCACTGCCCCCCCTTCCTCTGAGAGGCCTGGCCAGAGCCGCCCTCCCTGCTGGCGTTCCCATGCCAACCATTCGCCGCCAGGGAGAGGCTGCGGAAAACGGCTCCCGGTGGCTCTTCGCTGGGTGGATGGATTATAAAGGAAAAATGAACCTGTCGCTCTTTAGTTTTGATTTCCAACTCGTTCCGATTGGGAAAAAGTTCAGAACTGTGGGATCTTAGAGCTGACACTGACCTCAGAGGTCCTCTCATCCAGCGGATCATGAGACCCGCGTCCCCTGGCACCGGCCAGGTCCCCTCCCACGAAGCCAGTCCCGGGACCGACGCCGCTAACACCGAACGGGGCACGAGCCCTCACACCGCTGGCCTAGCACGGAGCTGCCCTAGGGCTGCTCGCGCTCGTCCCCAGGTCTGTGTGAGCTGGCAGCTGGCAGGATCCTGGGAACCGACAATCTACCGGGTGTTGGGGGTACGGACACAGCCCCCCGCCCTAATCCAGAGAGAAGCATCCGGGCTGGGGGCGGGGGGCAGTGGGGAGAGCTGTGAGAAAGTGTGGGAAGATGTTCGCGTGCGAGTAAGGTCTCTGCCACGGGGGAAAGCAGAACGAGGGGGGAGGGAAATCGAGAGGCACAGCCGACCGGAAAGGGGGTCAGGAAGCTGGTGACAGTGGTCTCTAAAGCGACTCTTCCTTATCCAGGGCTCGTAACGTTTTAACTCTCTGTCCCCAAGCCTGTCCTCGCACAGTCAGGCTCCCCACAGCCCCCAGCACCCTGCTCCATTATTGCCTCCGCACAGGCCGCGCCACACCTGTGTGTTCACAGCTGCACCGCAGGTGTCCCCGCCACCAGGCCGTGAGCGAGCGCCCTGAGGGCCGCGGCGGCGCCTCCTTCATCTGTCGCCCCTAAACGATGCCCACCCGTGCACGAGTGAGTGTCTAGCGGGCATCTCCCCTGGGGGGCCGTCTCGGCCGCTGCACCGGACCCCAGGTTTGGGCGGCACGTGCCTCTCGTACACCCCAGCGGCTCTCCGGCCCTCATCCTAGACCGTTACCTCTGCGTCACAGTTACCCGAAACCCGTTTGAGTCACTGACTCGAGGGCTGTGTCTTCTCTCTGGATTCTCAGCACCAGTCACAATACTTAGCTACACGGGAGGGTTAACGCGCGCCGCGGAGGAAGGGGTTCCAAAAGGGATGCCACTGTGCGAGACCTGGGAGTCCCCAAGGACACACACCGCCCGCTCTCAGAGCGCGTCCCTTCCTGGCGTCCCACGGCTCCGGCCTTTCTCACAGCCCCGAGGCCGGGAGAGGGTGACGGGCCATCCACTCGGGGACAAAGACGGAGCGAGCCCTCCTGCCAGTCTCACTGCTAGGTGGCACCTGTTGCTGAAAGAGCAGCTGGTGAGCATTTTGTTTCATTCAAAACAACAACAGCGGCGATCACGGAAAACGGCGCATTACGGGAAGCAGCATCGCAACGACAATGAGAAACCGTCAGGCTAAATCCAGAGACAGAGACCCGGAATCTTAGCAACGGAAGCCAGGGAAGGAGCTGCTGGAGCCTGCGAGGGGGCCGCTCAGGCGCTGATTAGAAACTGCGCAGCCCGCAGTTGGGAGGAACAAGGGAGGGGACGGAGGGGAGGAC